GCCATCGAGCCTCTTTTGCACCGCCTTCCTTGTACCCAGTTATTTAAGTTTTATACCTCCTACTTCCCGAGGAAAAAAAATTTGTCACTATGAGAACTTCACAAAAATTCTATTCTACAACCACATTATCAACTCACAAACTTAAGGTTCGTATAAGCACACGGTTCAAAGAACACATAATTGCATCCATCCATATATAATTTAGTTCAGATAATCACATTCTACCAAAACACATGATTATAAGCTTCCTCATGAGTAGAGAACTCATTTCCGATATATAGATCAACAACAGGATTACCTTCCCCATTTTCATCACCAATGGGCTCATCAGCATTCTCCTCATGCTCGGGTGCTCATAAAAATGGAGAAACAAAACTCATGAAAATGACTCAATTCATGCTTAAAAGACAACTATTTTAGTATATGTCATATCTTAGTAGTACACTATAAACAATAAGATATTATCACCTGAGAGGAAAAAATTGTCTTAGATAGTAGATCCTGGTCCTCGCCTTCAAGGTCAAGGGCTATAACTTAGTTTTCATCTTCACCCATTATTGTATCACGTGAGAGAATTGTTGGAGAGTCCATACAAGCTATCAAATTATCACCTATAAGAAGTTCAAAATCATTAAAAAAACTTCATCAACTTGATATTTCAATTTCACTAAACAATTTCATTATCTAAGCTCAAAAACTAAAATCAACCCTAATGAAATATAGCTCAAATTGTACCAAATTCAGGATACAAATTAGACTCTCAAATAAAACAAAAATATGATAGTTCAAATCAAATTTAAAGTTCATGTCCAAATTAACAATAAAATCTAAACTCAACGTAATCCCCAATATTATACATTTCTTCAAAAGGTCATATTCATACTTCATATCCCAAAATCAATAAGAATTACAATATAAAAATTCCCTAACTAAACTTACATAGCAAAATTATATCAACAACTTGAACTCCAAAAATTATATGAACAACTTGGTTGGCGGTGGAGGTCGTCGATCTTGAAGGAGGAGATGGCGGTGGAGGTGTCAATGCGTCGAGGAGGTCCAAAACGTTGAGGCATCGAGGAGGGGGAAATTAGGGGTGGTCGAGCTTGTGGGAGCGCGTCGAGGAGATCTGAGGCGTCGAGGAGGGGATCTGAGGCTTCAAGGAGGAGGAGTGCCACGCAAAGGAGGAGGAGTGCCACGCGAAGGAGGAGAAGGAGAGGGCCACACGAAGGAGTTGTCGAGTGGCGACAGAGCTCTATCAATAGGGGTGGTACACGATCGAATCGAATCGAATCGAATACTAAAGTGTTCGTATTTGTATTTATGTAAAATTATCGAATTCAAATGCGGACTCTAATATTTATAAATGGAGTTTTTTGAATTCGAACTTGAATACTTGGCATTTGATAAATATTCATGAATATTCACGAATACTTATCGAATATTAAAGTATATTTATTCCGCTAAAGAATTTAATTTTCAAATATTATTTAAATTCATAAAATAAAATTTATTCCTTTATAATATATGATGTATATATTTATTTAAATCAAAATTTATATTAGAAAATAGATTAAAGATTACTTAAGTCTTAAATCAGTACATAAAACTTGAGTAGAAATTATAAATGGGTTAAAAATATGACATCATATATGCAATAATACAAATAATAAGTGATTAAATTTTAAACGAATATTTGATAGACAAACGAATCGAACATACATCTAGTTAAATTCTATTCGTTAGTAAAGTCGAATACTAAAAAAATATTTGTTTAGTGGTAAATGAACTATCGAATTGAATATGACCGAATAATTACTTGAACAATTATAGATCTATTTGTTAATTATTTGGTTCATTTCCACCCCTATCTGTCAAGTGGTGGCGGTTGAGCTTGTGGGATGTGCGTCGAGGAGCTCTGTTGAGCGGCTTCAAGGATTCGATCAGATCTGAGCGCTTCGAGGAGGTCGAGGCGTCGAGGAGACCTGAGCGAAGAGGGCAAGCGGCATCGAGGGGATCTGAGCGAGTCAAGTAGGTCAAGGCTTAAAGGGGACTTGAACGAGAGGGCAAGAGGCATCAAGGAGGGTCTGAGGTGGATTTTTTCGGCAACAGAGCTTTCTTGCGACGAAGCTTTGTCGAGTGGCGGATTTGAGAGGAGAAGGCAGGAACATGAGAAATTTCTAATTCGTGAGAACAAAGAAGAATAGGTAAGGCTGAGGATTAGGGGTGGAATTTTATCAAGATGGAGGGCTAAGATGCTGCCACGTAGGTGCATCCTTAAATACAATCTAAAAAACCTCCCTATACCTTATATATAATATATATATTATATATATATAGTATATATATAATATATATGGGAAAAGGTGAATCTAAGGTGACAGCCTAAGGCTCCCACCCTAAGGATGCGGCCTAAAATCCATCATTCTCTAATTTGTTTGCGATCCGCCTCCATTGAACTTGATTTACACGTTCTTAAACCTAAACACACAATTTTGGGGTGAACCCGTGTTTTAACCCTTCATCCACTCGCCGCAATTTTAACGGTTTCGAATAGTAGAACTTTTTGACGGCTCAACCGAATGGTCAAACACCGACTGGTTACCCCAGAAATTGGTGTGTTTGAGTTTAAAACGTTAGATCAGTCAAACGGAGCGATCGTAAAAATAAAATTAGAGAATGATGTGATTTTAGGCGCGTCCTTAGGTGGGAGCCTAGGGTGTCAACCTTAAATTCAAATTTTCCATAATATAATAGATAATATATATATTATATATATATATTATATTATATTATATATATATAATATATAAGTATATATATAAATAGAGAGAGAGAGAGAGAGAGACAATATGGGTATGCTTGGGTACCAAGAACAAATTTTGTGCTGGTGTGATGTGTCACCATCCCCATCCACTCCATTACCCATGCGAATGTGATCCCATTTGAATGAGTGGAGGGAGATGTGACAGTTCACGTACCACGCATAACTTTTTGTGCTTTGGTAACAAACATACTTATATTCCCATATAAGTATAGTATATATATGTATTATAATATATATTATACTTTAATATATATATATACTTATTCCTCATATATATATATAATATATAGGTAGAGAGAGGAGAATATGGGTATGTCTTGGTACCAAGCATAAATTTTGTGTTGGTAGTGATGTGCCTCATTCCCTCCACCTCATTTCAATTGGGGGGATCACATTCAACCCCATGTGAATATGATCCCGCCATTTTGAATGATGGAGGATAATTATGCCACCTCACTACCAAGCATAAATTTTGTGCTTGGTACCAAGCATACCTATCCTCATATATATATATATTGCCCCTTCAATATATAGTATATATATATAACTATATATATAATATATATATATATATATACTATATATAATATACGCCGAGAGAGAGAGACGAGAGAAATAACAGTATGCTTGGTACAAACATAAAAGTTATGCTTGGTAGTGAGATGACATAATCACTCACCACTCCCATTCAAATGGGTTGCATTCCCCGTACACTACTCAATCTCATGTGAATGTGATCCCCAATTTTGAATGAGTGGAGGAGATTGTACTATATATATATATATATATATATATATATATATATAGATATATGCGCGTGTGTGTGTGTGTGTTCGCTCGCACACACATGGCCTTCGACTTGGAATTAAGCAGATTGAGTAATAACATAGATTGAGTGATAACATGGAACATGTCCCTGCCTCTTTGACTGACACACTGAAGATCAGTGTATAAATTGATAATGATGACTATGAAATTCACATAGCAATGGATCTCACTGTTTCTCAATACACTATGAAACGCACAAGAAATATCAAAAAGAAATAATTCTAGCGCAAACAAATACAAAAAAATGCTGTGTGCATTGAAATTGGAAGATGAATCTGGTTTATTCTAATGTAATTAAAAGCTGGTGATGTCAACTATAGGGGTAAATTCAATAGTTGCCAAATTAGTATAAACACTATCGAAATGAACACCAACCTTACATAAGAAATCAAAATGACTACTCTAACTGAAAAACACGATTTCCCCTCGAAACGGTTGGGAAACCTGAAAGCATCATATATATACATTAGCTTTTGCCTTTGATCAGTGGGGGAAAAGACTAAACAATAAAAGGCGTTCTTTATACAGCTAGTGCAATTGCCGCGAGAAGGCAGGGAAACAACTTCCTATGGTGAATAAGCATACAAAATTACATGCATAAGCCGACTTACACGACATCAATTAGAGCTGAAATACAAAACCCGAGCTTCTCTCCCAACAAGCCATCATGTGTTATTATTACCTTTCAGTGCAATCTCCGGTTAGAGGAAAAAAGAAAGTCGCTGTGGTGGTTAGTAATCACAGAAGTAACAACGGAGCCTTGCTCTACACTTGTACTTGACTCGGTTTGCATCTCAATTGTAAGATATGCCCACGAAGGCTACATTGCTTTACCTGCCGTTGGTGTATGTGTTAGTTAATATATATAGTAGGAAAGATGAAAACATTAGAAAACTGTGTCATATGGAAAATACATACATGCATTGCTGCTATGGTGGATAACAAATCTCTTGATTGATTCAATAAACCTCGTTCTTGTTCAGCCACTTTAGAAAGTTCAGATAACACTGAATTTGTCCCTTCTACCTATAAAATGCAGATCACAAAAGGTTACACGGTTGAGGCTGTAACACAGACTTGGGAAGTATACATGTGGTTTTTAAAGCAAATGGAACATTTGCCTCAAAAGGTCGATAAAATATAACTACGGGTATGACTTAATAGGACCAGATGTTGACAATGTTTAGTTGACTTCAAATCATCAGAGGTAAACAGACTTCCAACGATGCACAAAATGTTAGGTTCACTGACAAAGAATGAAGAGGGTTGGAGGATTTTAAATTTTCTTGTATTGACGTTTGATGATGTCAACATCTTCTTCATAAAAAAAATGTTGTGTTAAGCTCCAACTGATCGGATCTTTGAGATTTAAGAAACTGGGATTTTTTTTTCACAGAAACCAACTTTAAAATATAGTGACAAAGCGGAAACCACCTTCAAAGTTCATTAATACAAAAAACACCTTTAAAGCAGGTTACGATAGCAATCAACCACTTCAACCTATTTTCTGAAGCAATTTCGATTGAGATCTCCAAAATACTCTTAAAAAACACACATGTGAGACAAGACATGTCTTCTTAATCAAACCTAGTACATGACACGTGTGGCTTTTTTGGGGATTCCAATCAAAATTTCATCCGAAAATTGGTCAAAGTGGTTGATTGCTATCAAAATCCACTTTAAAGGCGCTCTTTGTATTGATCGAACATTTCAACTTTAAAGGTGGTTTTTGTATTCACTATATTTTAGAGGTGATTTCGATTGATAAAAACTCTTAGAAACTTAAATAAAGTTAGGAATATACTCTCACTCTGAAGGAGAGAATGGCGATCCATTTGGTTATTAGAACGTCAATCCTTACATTATCTTTTTATTCTGGGTCACTTGTAGTGTTATATCTGTATTTCAGTCAGTGTGATAACTCTCTTTACTCTGCCCCTTTGATTTACAGTATATAGAATAAGATGTCCCCATTTTCATCAGAGCAAGGAATTCAAGTGCATGCTAGGATATAAAGAACAATTTTTTCATGTTAATCCAAATTCATCAAACCATCACCAGTTAGTTTTCAAAGAACATTTTAATGCAAAGCAATGGGTCAAATAAATGGCCACTGGACTCAGAACAGAAGTAAATTCTTTAAGCACTTGTTGAACTTATGCCTTACTATGTTGTATGGGTTATTCCATTTGGAGCCGTACCCATAATGTGCTTGTGTTGTGCCCATACCCAACACTGAAACTTTAGTGGATATTCCTTGGAAATTTGCAGACACTTATTCAAACGTGTACTCAATTATATAATACATGTTTTTATTTAAAACACTTGACATATACTTCTTGGACGTATATCCTACACTGTACATACAACTCTTGAAACTCGTTGGACATAAGTTGGGTTTGTTTCAGCCCGTACCCAATTCAAAATTATGATTATAAAGGTCTTTTGGATATCAAATTAAAAACGAGTAATTTTATAATTTATAGATCCATATTTCAGATAAGGGGTTTTGGTCTTTAGAACCAAAATTTTCTCCTGATTATGTTTAAACCCAAGTATTTTTATTTGAATCCTTAAACTCAATCAACGTTTTCTTTTTGTCTTTAAACCCAAATAATATAATCCATAGTTGAAATATGTTGTATTTATACTTTTAGGTGGTAAAAACCCTAAATAACCCCACATCTCCTCAAAACTCTCTCTCTCTCTCTCTCATATGAAATTAAAATCAAAAATTTTAATATTTTAGTATTATTAATTATTATTAATTGTAATAAATAATCATGAGGAATCATGCATAATCATGTGAAAAAATTTGATAAATAAAACGACAAATTAATATTATAATTGTCCCAAATGCTTATGTAAATTTATGCTACAAAACTAGGAGTTGAGAAATTGGCAGAATTTATACCTTAAAATACCACCAAAAAGAGAGGGTTAAGGAAGTTGAGTATAATGGGTTTATGAAAGCTGAAGAATGAAACAAGATAGTCAAGGAGGTGAGAGAGCATCAAATGAGAAAAATAGAGAAGGTACAATTGGATTTTTTTTTTTATTTTTTTTTTTTTTTTGAAAAAAATTGAGAAAAATAGAGAAGGTACAATTGGATTTTTTTTTTTATTTTTTTTTTTTTTTTGAAAAAAATTAGGAGGGACCACATAAGCATAAAGTGTATTTGAGAATTTTGCTTTAAAGATAAATACACAAAGTTGATTGGGTCTAAAGATACAAAGAAAAGTAACTGGGTTCAAACATAAATCATGGTATACCTTTGGGTATCAAGACAAAAACCCCTTTAAATAAACATATAAATGTTATAGGAATTTTATTTCAGGGCTTGTTTGGTTGATTTCCTAAATTCAAAGAAAAGAAAATAGGATAAGGAAACCACTAAAAGTTGATTTCCATTCATTTCCTTAAAAAAAGTCATGAAATGGGTTTTCTTAAAAATGAGTCACATCATCCAATAATATGATGACAACTCATCTCATTTCATCTCTTTTCTTAGTTTTAAGAAGTGAACCAAACACAAGAAAAGAGCATATTATAGGAAATAGGTTTCTTATAATTGATTTCCTTATATTTTCAGCCAACCAAACAGCCCCTCATAGAACATGAACTGGAAAAAAAAAATATTGATCTAATGTAAATTCTTATTAATATACATGCATATGTAGTCGTGTCCCCATACCCAATTTTATACGAATTTACAGTGTTCCATGACCGTGCACACACCCCTGCCTGTGTAACTTAGGTGCTTATCATGCTTAAGAATATTAGGGCATGAATCCATGATATGATTAGTGCATTTGTCATCATGCAAATGGGTCAATGCTAAAAGCATCTTGCTAGACTGGGCACTTGACCAATTAATCTGCAGGCAACAATTTTTTGATCTTCTATGTTGCCATATAACGGTCCTCTATGCTAAACCAACTACATCAGTAACCATTTAAAGTATGACATGTTTACTTCAAAATACAATTGCAACCAATTATCCATAAGAACATTTTGAAAAACAATTACCATCAAAACTGAATTTTGAATATAACAAGAACGATATTTGCCTTAGTCAACATATAATCACAATTAAAAAAACAATTTACAAACTAACATAATTATTCAGAACCAAGCAATGTAATAAATCAGTGAGCACTTAAGTGCAATTATCAGTTTGGATATATCACTATATGCTCTGCAATGAATTTAGTGCACAAGTCATATAACTTGATCCAACTGAAGTTACGTGTTTATGCAACATATTAATTAAAACACATATATCTCCTGCAAGTTGTTTCAAAATGCTCTAAATTTCATGTACTATCATCAAATTTGAACTAAGCGAGCAGCTTATGCTAGGAAGAAACGGTATTTCTCCAATGTTGTAGGTGTTACTGTTCATGGTTATGGATTTTAAAACTGTCCATGTCCTCAATTTAAAAGTATATCATATTTTCTACTATTGATTGTAACGCGTGTCGTATTGCCACTCAAAATCATCCACATTGGCATGTAGAGATTTTGCTTTCAATTAATATATGGAACATGCTAGAAGTTTAAACCCTTAGCAATGTCCTCAATGGCCTGTCTTTTGTGTCATTCACTCCCTTTTATTAGTATTAGAACATCTTATCTAATATACTATTATAAAAGTGTGTTGGTATGTTAAAACATTTCTTCCAAAAATGCCCTCCAAACACATACATGCACATATAAATATATAAAATGAAAACATGAATATATAATCACATCACCCATAACTTCAATTTATGGAATTTTTTTATAAATGATGATCTCGATTGTAACTTTCTACATTTATGAATTTTTGTTGCTTTCATGAAAATTCATGCTTTAAACTAATACTTTTAGTATTTGCAAATTAATATCACATAAATATTCATCTAATCAATATCAAATTATTTTATTATACACATTATATCTTTAAATTATAACCCTTCAAATTCTTCTCACAACCCCCAATCCTATTAAATCAACTTAATTAGTTATTATTATTATTCAATTATCTATTTTTATACTAAAATATAGATAGTTTACTAATTAGTAAAATTTCATAGTTATATTGTATTGTACATATATTATAATTAACTTTTAGCTCTTTCAATATCGTGGAACTTTCTACATTTATGAATTTTTGTTGCTTTCATGAAAATTCATGCTTTAAACTAATACTTTTAGTATTTGCAAATTAATATTACATAAATATTCACCTAATCAATATCAAATTATTTTATTAATTTTAGCTTATCAATTATCTAATAAATTAACATTTATTAATTTATTAATTTTAGCTTATCAATTATCTAATAAATTAACATTTATTAATTCTAATAAAACTAATATTTATAAAATATTAATAAATTATATTTAACTAAATTATAAATAATTTACTTTAGTAACTATTAATTTGTTAGTTTAAAATTAAATATTATTAGTTCAAATAAATTAATATTTTTAATATTCGCGTTACTAAATTATTAGTTTATTAGTATTAGTCCTATAAAATTATTATGTTATTAGTATTATTAGTTTTGTTTAAATTAGTTAGTTCAATAAATTTTAATTGTTAGTTTTTATTAAATATCAAATCTAATGAACAATACTTCAATTGTTCACGTGCAACGCACATGCACTATTCTATACATTGAAAAATAAAACTTAAGATATGATATTTAAAATAAAAAGTGAATGTTAAAGAGGAATAGTTATCTATATATTATCATCTTAGCGTGAAATTAAAATAAGAAAATAATAAGCTATGATTCATGAATGAGACACATAACTAGAGGGGGAGGAGGGGGGTGTGTAACCACAGTTTAATTTTTTATTTTTGCTAGAGCTTCAGTTGTCGAGGTATTGTTTTGATCTTTATATTATGAGCTTTTGTTGCCACGAAAAGCGGGTAGGAAATATTTTGGCTTATTTTTGTTAAATTACTTGCCACAACAATGATCCGATTAACCCCACATGAACATGAGAACAAGAACAAGAACAATGACGCGCACAAAAATATCAATTTATTAAACTCCGGACTAGAAGATTTATGTGCTAATTCAACTTATTGAGTTGAAAATAACATGTTTGATAGCCTCCCTCATGCATAAAATGATTGAGCGAGTATTTTTTTTAAACATATTAAATGCATGTGTAAAAAATCTTCAAAGAGGAACTTCTTAAGCATACATATATCTTTAAATGAGCATCGTGATTATCCATTACACTTGCTATCCCTAAAAATTTTCTTAGCAAACATCAAATGGTTGGTGTTTTTTTGTATTTGAGTTTTCTAAAATTACTAATGATGACCATTTCAAAGGATAGTTCACACACACACAAAAAGTATCATCACAAAAAATAAACGTATAATTAAATACACGTGCAATGCACGTGCACCATACTAGTATATATACTAAATAGCACATGACCCTGCACGCTAAATAACACATAAGTTTCCTAATGTTACATTTATTGGTACATAACTAGATCAGTGCTAGTTTTAGTATATACTTTTTCTTAAATTCACTGACAAGCATAAGCATGACCAGTAGCACTTAAATTTAAGAAACACCTTAGCTAAGCATGATGTTAATTGATTTTTGGGTGTTCCAAAATCAATTGCATTACTGATATAATAGCATAGAGGTGGGAACATATCTACGTGTTTCATCCAAGTGGCTGATATCATATTTGATATTAACAGCATAATCTTCTATTACTTAGCATACCTATTAAGAATATATAGCATCCAATTCCCAAAAGCAATGACATAGCAATTTAATTGCATTCGATACATGTCAAACTACTCAGAAGATGACTAAGACACGAACCTTGCTAGGGCATAAAGTTTAGGATATAAATGCCCACTATAATGCCGACAAATGTTCATCTATTATACAATAAACAATGGAGCTTTATGAGTGAGGAAATATGCGCTGGTATATGTATCAACTCGTTCCAAACCAAAAAAAGACCACATGACATTCAAAGAGAAGGGGAAAACCACTATTCTTCTGCTGCAGCATACACTAAGATAAAAATTTAAGGAGGCACTGACCTTTGACAGTAACGAGCATATCGAGGAACCCATGGCTTGCATCACGTCAACTGCCGAACTGACTGCATCTTTCACTTTTTGTAAATCTGCCTGTTACACAAACATCACCTGTAAGTCCTTCCAATTAAAGGGTACAGATAAATTTTTAACCATTCATGGAAATCCAGAGGCACTAACCCGAGCTCCACTAACAACTGGAAGCCGGAGAGTGCTAGCTTTTAATGCTTCTGTAGCTCCTGATAAGGAACTAGCATGATCTCTGTCTATATTTGACCACTCGTCTAAATAGGTCATCTGCATTAATTAAAGAGGAGTTTTTAGAAGAAAGAAGCAAAACTGTTGATATGCAAGTTATGTAAATTCAGTCATAATCTTGTCAAAGTTAGCAGAACATATCTTCTAGAAAGTCATGTCACTGAGTTATTTCACACCTATAATATTGGATATTAGCAACAATAAACAGGCCAAAGTACTGGGAGGGTTGCAATGGATCAGATTCAAGTTGGATATTAGGTTATCAAGTTTGGATTCCAGGTATCCTATCTAGGTCTAATAAGAAAGGGTTGCAATGGGTCGGATTCAAGTTGGATGCTAGGATATCAAGTTTGGATCCCAAAGTATCCTATCTAGGTCTAATAAGGAAGTTGACCTATTTCTAGGATCCATAACCAGTTAGATATCAATTTTAAGGATCAAAGCTTGAAATTTCACGTCAGATTCAAATCGGATCAGCATATAATCAGGTGCACTGCCTTCCTAGAATGCTAATATTCCCATTGCTGAAAAGATGAATGTGATGTTGATACAAAGAAAATACTAGTCTTGAAACTCCACTAAAAACACAAGTCAAACCACCTGTATAAATCCGTACTCACAATTATCATTTTTCACATGGTTAAAATATCTAGCAAGACAAAACTGCTCTAGATATCATTTATTTTTCTTTTTCATTATACTATGAGATCGGGCTTTTTTGCTTGCAAGGCCTTCACTTCCAGCGATATAAGGAAAGGTTATCTATTATGAAAGGATCTGTTCTAATATGCTAGTTGATATTAAAATAGAGAATTCCTTCACTTCTCAGATTTCTGACACTTTAGTACATAGTGAAGAGAGTAACTTCCACAGAACTTCCTTAAGGTAGTTCAGAAAATATTTTAAGATTCCTTAGTAGCATAACTATGACTTAGAATGATTTATAAACGACATAGATGTTGTTTTTTTTTATCTGGATGTGGTCACTATAAGAATTTGAGAATTGAGATTGCATACCTATTGGGATATTGACACATGATATATCCAGCTTAAGAGCTTCAGGATGAATTTTAGGTTAAGTCACCACATATGCGCCATGGGTATCTCAACCATTCAGTTGGGTATGGTTGTCAATCATTTTAGGGATGCTTGTCTAAGAATAATAAAGCCACTTTACAGTAAGTAGGCTAAAATACATTGAGAACACAAGCACAGACATGTATTTTTTAGGTCTGAGTATATACTTGTATGCCTGTAATGGATGTCTCAACCAATATTGAAAAAAGAGAGAATGTATAATGTAACATTCAACTTCTCGATAACTTAAAGATTATATAACATGATGCATAACTAGGTTTTTGTGTCTTGTTAATTTAAAACAAATGAAACAAAATATTCCTAGTAATTTTAATAAATGGGACATCATTAAGATATAAATTTATCTTAAAATAAAGATTCCAAAAGGTAATATAATCTATATTAATATACTAAACAAGTAGCACGACAAATAGTCAAATATATCACTACAAATGATAAAGCTTTTTTCTAGGTTTCTCTACATTCAATCTATAAAGCACAGCCTGCAGTACATTGGTTTTGTTAGGTTCCTTCATGTGCATTCTTCAGCTATATGATACTCCAAAAGCGCTTCTCTAGTTTAACATAACTTTGAGCGATCACGCATGTACTACTGCCTTTTTTTGTTGCATTTGCAGCTTCTGCTTTGTGACTCAATAAACCACATCTCCGACATCTGAAATTTGTTCATGCTATCGTGGCAGCATGCCATCATGACATCTTCTCCATAGATTTCAGGTTTTGGACGAATGGCCGAGTGGCATGTTTCATCATAAAGCATCCTCTTTTGGGTCACAATGTAAACCATTTTGATATATCATGATGGTTCATACCAACTGTCATTTTAGACATAGTCCCAACTCCCAAGACATCATGATGAATAAGTGTCGCTTCATCATTAGCACAGCAGTATCTTTCAGCAGAGACACTCCAAGTGCAACCTCTAAATATCTCTCTTGATCCTTGCATTATCATCTCAGGAATAACTAGGTTAGTGTGGATTTCTTTCTCTAGACTTATTTTGTAGTCAAAAGGGAACTAAATAACATGTTTCAGAATGCCTACAAATCGATTAGGCAAACTTAGGCACCCGTATGCAGTTAATAAACTCTTGTATCTGGAGAAAGTCATATGTTATCAAGCTATCTAGTGTTTTATTATAAAGCCTCATGGCTCTAGAGAATATTAGCAACATTCATAGCTTCTATTGCCCCATTTCTAGCTACAGCCATCCTACGGCCATCCTTCGGCCAATAATTTTAGAAGTTCCCGACTCATCAATTTGCTGAACTTAAGGCTGTATTGGAGGAAATCCTTCACTCTACCAAACTATCACTTGATCACCTGCCGATCTGCTTAATTGTTCTTGGAAATTCTTTTCCTTATAGAAATATCAAATTGTAATTGTCTCGGCACTTGGGGAAGTATCCAAGCATGCAACAACATCACATTTTTTATGCACTAGAAGGTATTCTGATTCCAACACTATATCAATTAAGATGAGCAGTGATTGAAAAAAACCTCTAGACACACCCGTTACAGTTTGTACTACTGTTGTTGCCGTCTCTCTATCCTTCGAATCATGTAGCAGATACTCAGCTGACATTGTTCACATGCTTAATAGATGCCCTTTGGTAATTTCTTAGGAACACAACTTTGAATTTCATTGGGCAACATACAACTTGCACTTTAGATACTACCTTGTCTAAAAATTGTGTTGCCCTGGTCATATATTTTTTTTTCACATATTCGACCTCTTGTTTCATGAAAGATCCTTGCTACGATAAAGACTCCAGAAACATTATAAAGAAAAAAAGGCTTTTCTACTTTTGAAAAATAGTATTTGCATCTCCTTTCATTAGTACTTTTTTGTCTTAGATATCCTTTGGCAATACACAACTTTGAATTCTACTGGGGCAACATACAACTGTCTTTCTTCAGATAATACTAGCTTGTCTTTAAATTGTGTTTACCTGATAATATGCTTTTGAACATATTAAACCTCGTGTTGCGTGAAAGGTTCTTGCTAGGATAAAGACTAAGGAAACACTATGAAGAAAGTAGGCTTTTAAAAAATAGCCGTTGCATATCCTTTCCTCAGTACTACTTCATCTAACATATTCTAACTTGCTGCGTTTTAACTTGCTAGTTAACAGTCGTAGCAACCCCACTCCATTCACATTTTTAGTTCTCGCCAGCGAAGGTTGAAACAAGCATCTTGTTATGTCATCTTTTTATTGGCACCAAACCGCCATGATATTGAGGATTTTATGGCGAATGTTGTTTTGAGGGTACTATCAGGAATATTGCAGATCGTTTCGGACAAATAAAACGCAATTGCAGGCTCAAAATTGCGCCCGATATGAGCTGCTTTAATTTCCGCCTTATTGGGTTTCAATATAAGTTTGCAAACCTGACCCGACCTAACCCAATTATCCTATTTCTATTCTAAAACATAAGCCTCCTACTTGGGTCATTTAGGGCAAAATTTTGCCCCACATCCATCGCGACTCGGAGCTGAAACCTCTTCAGCTTTAAGACTTCGATATTAGGGTACCCTCCCTCCCTCTCTCTCTCTCACATGCAACTAGGGCTTCGACTGGAAACTAGGGTTTTGGGGCTTCGGCTAGAAACTACGGCTTCAAGGCTCATCACCCATCAAGTACTCTCTCTCTCTTTCCCCACCCTCACAGTATCCGAGTCTCACCCTCTGAGTCTCAGTCTTTCTCAGTGTTTTGAGTTAGATGTTTTTTTAACTTTAGATTAATGTTAGATGTTAGTTACGTATTTGAGTTGGAATATATTAGATATTTGAGTTGGAATGTTGATTTCTTTTATACTGTTAAGTTGATGACTGATATAAAATTTATTTGTTGAATAGTTTATACAATCAATTTGTAACCTTAAACATCATTTGATATTTACTTTTTTGTATGTATAGACTATAAAATTTATTAAGTATGCTTAGATTGCATTTAGGATATTATATTATGTGTATGCACACCATACGATATGACAATCCGATATTTAGTACATATCCTCCGACAATATCCCCAATATCCACTACCCGACATGGATTTTAGCCAATCCGATAGGAACCCGACATCCGACATTTAGAACCTTCAAAGAAACTGAAAAAGACTTGGGCAGTCTAAATATTGAAGAAATATCATTGGCAAGTTACTTAATTATTTTCATTTTTATGCCCTACTATGCATATTCATTGATAAGTCGGTTGCTTATGATATGACTACCTCATGAATTAGCTGTTCAACTATGCCTATTCTTTCTAAAATATGAGCTTTTAACCTCAATATACCATGATAGTATAATTAATGCCTTTCATTTGACACTTGAAAATTATCCTTAGAAAAACTACCTGCAATCTGCTATTATCATCAGAACTTTTCATTTTGATTCTTGACTTGAGAGTACTTCCCATCTGAATTTTTACATTTCCAATTAGGCAATGTTTAACAATAATGCTGGCATTAGCATACATATAAATGAATCATATGGAGATTCCTTTTTATGCATTCACTGATTTGTAAAGGCATGTTTATTAATACACACACATAATGAAATATATTGTACTGAAATTGACATAAAAACTTTTTATTTTTATCACTGTTGTAAATAGCGGGGCTATAGCGGCGCGAATAGCGGTCGCGGCCCTTCAGCGCTACGCGTAGGGGTTTCGCGGCTGGCTTAAGCGGGAAAATCCGCTATTCATTCGAATAGCGCGTAAAAGCGGATTTTAGCAGGTTAAAAGCGGGCTTTCGCGGTTAAAAACGGATTTTCGCGGTTAAAAGCGGATTTTTGTTGTTAAAAGCGGCTAAACCCGCTAAACCCGTTATCACACATATTATGATGCTATATTTCTTGGATTTCTTCATAGTTTCATTCATACAACAAGCTTATTAATTGTTATTTATTGATAATACAAGAAATTTACAGTTTCATTCATACAACAAGCTTATTAATTGTTATTTATTGATAATACAAGAAATTTACAACTAATTAAATTTTTAGATTTTTTTATGAATTTTCTTATTATTTAGGATATTTAAATATATTTAAATTTGTCCGCTATTTGACTGTGCGCTATTTGCCGCGATTTCGCCGCAATAGCCCGATATAGCCTTAGCGGTACCTCGCCGCGACGCGCCGCGATCCGCTATCAGCAACCTTGATTTTTATGATTGACGTAAGGGCACTGCTCATCTTACTTTTTTGGCACTTGTATACTGACACTTCTTATACTACTCACTGCATAACTTTTTTTCCGTAGGTTTTTTCAATTTTCACTTTTACTGGTAATTGTCAATGGACAGTCTATGGATTTGTGTACATAAACACATTCATGATGTTGTGTTTTCTATGGATATTTGATATAATAGAACCTTTCATTTTGATGCTCGACCAAAAAATACCTATTGTCTAAACTTTTTTCAATTTCATTTATCACACCTTCATATAACAATGTACGCATTTGTAATCATAGCAACTATATATCTTTACTCATAAATGTAAGCCAACAAACACTGACAAGTGACAAGTTTATAGCTTATGAAAGACTTGTCTACTGATGATTGAAAGTGAGTAGGGTGTAGGCATGGAGCAAGGGTGCAACCAAAATATTCTGAAATAGATTCCTAAAAATGAAAGAGGAAAATGAAAAGCATGTTATGCAGTTTTACCAATAGAAAACGAGCATGAGATGAAGATGAAACTTACTTGTTGCTTTAGAATTGATGTTAGCTTTAAATTTTGTGTCAGTAATTGCAGCTTGATCCTTTTACGAGTTACAGAATCACGCAGTTCGGAGGTTGCCATCCATGCATTATACAGGTTTTTCTGATAGAGGGCATCAAAAAGAGAAGCATAAGTTGATTACACTAAACATGTAAAGCAAGCCTAACCAGTAACACAGGATAAAAGAAGCATATGAAGCCTTTAATATGTATACTAACACACATATATCCAACCAATATATATATTGGCTTGTTTCACATGAATATACAGCTACAACATTAGTGAATAATAGATTACATAATACATAGGGAGAGGTGTTAACACTCTCGAGGAATAATTAAATTTAATTACACCCACCTACAAAAACGTACATTATACAATGAAATTGAACAATCAAGTCCGTCCAATATCTATTGATAAAAAAATCATGTGTTGAGCATATATTAGCCATGTATCAAGTGGATGAGAAATTAACATTTTTCCAACAATACAACTAAAGGGACCTCTTGATGCTTAAGTTAAGCAATTTCAAAAGAGGATAAATTACGTTTATCATGATATACATATCTAAAAACATCTATAATAAAAAATATTGACGTTTCAGGACTCCTAACGATGTTTCACATGGTAACTTTTGTTGTATTGTCATTAACCCTTTAAGTTTGCAACAACTTGATGTATAAGTAATTAGAACTCAATGTATCTAATTTTTGTTTATACAGAATTCAGGATATATAGAATCAATGTATAAGTAATTAAAATGAAGGGAATGGATGTCATATCATGCATTTTGAAGTGTATATTACCAAATTAGTTATTCCCTAGGAGTATTAAAGCTACATATACAGGATAAACTAATTTAGCCTCACACGAAAGCATATAACCACGACATATAATGATTAGAGTGCTGCATTCAGCTAATTTGTAGGTGGAGGTTATTGTGTCGCTAATCTCATTATGAAAATCGATATCTCACCATTCATCCTAGCCGAGTATCTACTCAGCTGACTTGAATACTTTCTGTATATCTGGTAAAATAAAATTCTGGCGGGACAATATGAAGTTACATAAAACATTAGAATCTTAATTAGATTTGAGTCATTTATTGTTTTAAACTGTTTCAAGCCTCTTTTATAGGTTATAACCTTTTTAAATCTATCCAACAGTCTTAAATTGATTCCAAACAAGCAGGCACTGTTAAAAGAACCATTATGGTTAAAGGCCACTTATGAGAACATTATGTCATTTTCACTTTATATTTGATTTTTCTATAAAAACTGAGAAATAGTTACTTCGAAAAGTAGGTCAGCCTCTCTTTGGCTTCATTTTCTCTTGTTGTTATCTACTTTTGTTTCTATAACTTACACACATTCTGCTTTATTGTCAATCTTTCAAGAGGTTCCAGAATGGTAAATTGCAAAAGGGGTTTATTGTCCGAGGCCCCTTAAGAGGATACAAGGTACAGAAAAGATACTAATAGAGGAGATTCATCCTGACATTTGTTATAGTGGAGTGAAATATTTTTTCATTCTCCACTACCAAGCATGTCTTGAGACTTGAACAAGGTTCTTGTTTTAAGCAGCTTACAGACTTCTTTTATAAGTTATAACCTTTCTAATTTGTTCAGCATTCTTTGCTAGCGGGCACACAAACAAGCACTGTTAAACAGCCATCGCGAGTAAAGCCACCTGTAGGGAGACCTATTCATTTTACCTCTATACTTGATTTCACAAATAAAAGCGAACTAAAAGAGTTGTTTGGAAAAGTAATATTCTTTTCATTGCACTTTCACATCTCTTTTACTCCATTTATCCTGTTTCACCTATTCTACTCTCTTTAACTTGCATTCATTTAGTTCATCATCACACATCCCATTAGGGGTTCTACACCAGCAAAATGAAACAGGGGCTTGCTTACCTCAGAAGGCACCTTAAGAGATGATAGGTCTAGAAATGAAGATGCTATATAGAGCCAGAGGAATTGTGCCCTAACATGTGTCGAATAATACTGAATAAAAGTGTCTTGATGTTTTCATTCTCCATTATTCATATCGTAAACAAGGTCTTGACTTGAAATTTATGACATCTAGACCAAGTTAAGACCTATATCACATAAATACAACGATATGAGTTATCTAGAACTCTGATAAAAAAACTCCAGCAAGTGGGAATTGTGAGATGAGTATGTCTTTTGCATAATGCTGTTACCGCTAGAAATACTACGTTCACTAGAAAATGCCATGCTCCTATTACTCTCTGACATAAGTTTCAGCATTTGAAAATATATCTCCACCTATTAGACCAAAGGCCTGCTGCATTTCAAACGTACAATCATTACATAATCAGAAGGCAACAGACTGCTCGACCTCTTATCTATTGTATGGAATATATGTTTAACACCACGTCTAAATAAAGGAACTAAAACACAGGCTGTATTACCTATCAAAAGGATGTCTTCAGGGATAAAATTTCCAGCTTATGTCCATGCAATAGGACATTAAAAATATGCTTACCGATATTTTTTCTCAAATTCACCTGCCTACCGAAAGAATTATAGAAATTTATGATTTGCATGCATTGACACACATACAATGTTCTGACACACGAAATCAGAATTAGGGACCTTCACAAATAAAGATACCAGGACATGAAAATGTAGAAGTTTTTAGATATTTAACATTTAACTTATGTAAGTGTATGTATGGGTTTGTTCAATTGTTCACAACAGAAAGAGACCAAAAAGAATAAAATGATCTTCAAGACAATTAGCATTGTTTGTCTTGACATGGGCTCTATTCATTTATAAGCTATGGGCACTCATGAACCAGTATGTCATCTATAGTAATAGGAATTAGTGTAGATTTCTTACTTTTCAGAACATCAAGAGTACTAATGTTAGGTTCTAACAATCTGGATTTATCCCGGGTTGAGAGATTGATTTTGACATGCAGTGGGTTAGGGATGTGCTAGGCCACAGGATCTAGGGTTTGTCAAAACTAACCTAGGACTTTAAACATTTTTTAAGGTAATATCATAAGCTTTATGCAAATACAAGGCAAAACAAAGTATTCACCAGAACAGCAATTTACGAATGGCATTAGAGATAAAGATATAAGGAAGAAGCAGGAAAAAGGAAGAGACGGGAGAATGTTTCTGACTATAAGATCATCAGTTAATTATTCACAGAACTGTCTCAAAAGTTTAAGTACATTTACGTTTTTATTATTAACCCGGACAAAAATCCCAAGGAGATGTAAAGCAATCGTCATAGCTCACACCAATGCATCAACATCCACAGTGTTCCCTACAGATGTAGATTAGTATCGGAGCACAAGTGAAATCAAAATGAGGAAGTCTCTGCACAAGCATTAACTATGACTGTGGCAAAAATATTGATAATTAAATAAAGGGCATGAAAGGCCTCGCCAAATGCAACCTTTTTCGGTGGTATGTAGTTTTCCTAACTTACAGTCATCTGCATGCTAATGCAATCAATGAGCAAGAATGCCTAGTATTTACCTAGACAGTTCAAATATTAGGGCTTTTGACATATATAGTACTTTGACATCTGAAGCACTTCCAGAACTCTCTTAGGACATCTCGACTCAGAACTATAATGGTATTACTGTTAGAATATTAAAAAAATTAACTCTCAACCCTCACCATAACTTTGGAGTTCTGGTGTAATGGTTAGAGGAACTTTAAGAATGACCGTCCACTTCAAATGTTGATTCTTTCATGCAAAAGATTTTAGTTTAGAATGTATATACTAAATAGTATATTAATGGTATACACTTATCACTGAAGTATGAGTCAATCTGTAAGTTTAACTACTTGTGACATGAAACATATTCATTATCCTCAAAGTTCTCCATGGACACTCTAAGGACACTACTAATCAGAATTATGACAATGATACTGTGCACTTCTGCTGATTCTTTCATGCAAAAGATGGCCAGTTTAGATTGTGTATGTAATGGTATTCACTTAATATTGTAACATGGGTCAATTTCTTAGGTTAGGTTCTCATGATGTGAAATATATTCATTCCTCCAGAAGTGTCTATCCACAAGCTAAAGGAGTACTAGTATCACATTTTTAGAGTGTTTGCATACCAGAGACCATGTAAGCAACAATGATCTAACCGAAGCTAAAGAACTAGGAGCTTGATATTCTTGACTATGATTTTTCCCACATAAGGATGAATAGCATGAAAGATGCCTTCTAGCCTCAGCATTATACACCAAAGCATCTCAACCAAACAAGAAGTGTTGCTTAAAATTTTAAAATTACAAACCCCCC